GCCTCAGCTTTGCCTTTGGGCTCTGTTTTTGGAACATTTTCCTCCTTTTTGGGGTCTTTGGTGTCTCGTTTCCGGGCCGGGTCTTTGGGGGGAGTTTCCTTTCCCGTTTCCTCTCCGGTTTTGTCTCCTTTGCTCTCGCTCAGCCTGGTTTCCTGAGGGGGGAAGAACACATGGGAGTTAGAGATGGTGTTTTCCCAGCCCTGTCCCACCATCCCCAGCCCCTCTGGAGCCTTTGGAAGCAGGATGTTTGCCCAGCCATGGCTCCAGGGAGGGTTCCTCAGAGCTCTCCAGGCCACCCCTGCTGCCTCCACCCCTTCCCAAAGGGCTGCAGAGCCCCTGTCCTGCATCCCCAGGGACCCTCCTGTCCCTCCTCCCGCCAGTTCTCCTCGTTTGAATCCCATTCCCAATCCAGTGCCCATCCCCCGGCAGCCCCAGGTGCTTTCCCACCTTTCCCAGGCTGTTTCCAGCTGGATTCTCCGTGGGTTTGCCCAGTTTGGAGCCCAACACTCCCCACACCGTGCTGGCCACGTGTACAGGCAGAGCAGCAGCCACAGCCAGGGCCACGGTGACACTGCTGTCCCCAGCCCTGGGCTCTCCAAACCCAGCCCCTGCTGGCATCCCCTTGGAGCTCAGAGCAGAAAACCAAGGGAATGGGGACATGGAATTTCTTGCTTGTCATGCCTGGAGTTGTCTCAGCACAACCTGCTCCTGGTGCCCATGGGCAGAGCAGGAGGGAAGGGCTGAGCTGGGAGAAGGGCACAGGGAATTCCTGGTGATTATTCCAAGCCCCTGACCCCTGGCACAGCCTGTCCTGGGCACTGCTGTTGGACACAACCAGCACCAGCAGCTCTGGGAGACCTTGGAGCCCCATCCAGGGCCTGGAGGGGCTCCAGGAGAGCAGGAAAGGGATTTGGGATAAGGACTGGAAGGACAGGACACAGGGAATGGCTTCCCACTGCCAGTGGGAGGGAGAGATGGGACATTGGGAAGGAATTGCTGGCTGGGAGGGTGGGGAAGGGCTGGGATGGAATTCCCCATCCCTGGCAGTGCCCAAGGCCAGGCTGGAGCAGCCTGGGATGGTGGGAGGTGTCCCTGCCCAGGACAGGGGTGGGATGGGCTGGGATTTAAGGTCCCTCCAATCCACACCAGTCTGGAATTCCATGAGGTGCCCCTACAGAGAGGAGTCAATGCTCCCAACAGGTCCCTGAGGGCAGATGAATCCCTGACCTCCCCGGGGTCAGATCTGCTGCACAGAGGAGGATCCCACCCTAAATTGCACCCCAGATGTTGGGGTTCCCTGATCCCTGTTGTCCCCTGATCCTCACCCCAGGCACACACAGGCCCCACTCATCCCCCTTGCTGGGGGAGCTTGGATTCCCTGGGATTCCCGGGAAGGGAGCACAGGAGGTGCCTGTGGGAGGGGCAGCTGATCTCTGCCTATGCTGGGGCTTCATCCAGGCCTGGAACCCCCAAATCCAGGAGCAAACCCCGCAATGTTCAGCTGGAATGGCCTCCCCCTCCTCCTCCTCCTCCTCCCCCCATCCCAGGGCTCCGTGGGGTCCGTGCTGGGGCAGCTCTGCCTTCCCAAAACAGGGCTCTGGAGGCTCCCAGGGCCTGGTTTTTGTGGAGAGCCCAGGCTGGGCACTGTTTGTCCCTGCTGCATAAACAGCTGCCAGCGGGGACAGGGTTGTTTAGTTAAGGGATTTCTTGGCTCCCCGGCAAGGACGGAACAGGCACTGGAGGGAACGGGTCAGACCCCCCCAGCCCAACCCAGGGACAGGGATGGGGCTCCCAGGGGTGTCCTGGGGGCTGCAGGAGCAGGGATGGGGCTCCCAGGGGTGTCCTGGGGGCTGCAGGAGCAGGGATGGGGCTCCCAGGGGTGTCCTGGGGGCTGCAGGAGCAGGGATGGGGCTCCCAGGGGTGTCCTGGGGCTGCAGGAGCAGGGATGGGGCTCCCAGGGGTCTCCACTCTCTTTCCCAGCCCCCCCCAGCCCCCAGGCACATCCAAGGCCCAACGAGTCTTTGGCTGGGAAGATCCCGGGGGAAGGAGCTGCAGCTTCTCCCAGGCCAGGAAAATGGGAGGGATTTTTCCAAAGGAGATGAAACCAAGGGGAAAGGAGAAGCAGAACAAAAACCCCTGCTTGGGAAAGCTGCTGGGAATGTTTTGTTATCCCATTTTTAGTCCAGGAGATGTGGGAAAGGAGTCAAGGGGAAAGGATCCAGGGAAAAGGAATCGGGGGAAAAAGAGTCAAGGGAAGAGAAACCAAGGGAAAGGATCCAGGGGAAAAGGAGTCAGGGAAAAAGGACCCAGGGAAAAGGAACCAAGGGAAAAGGATACAGGGGAAAAGGATACAGGGGAAAAGGAGTCAGGGGAAAAAGGAGTCAAAGGAAAAGGATCCAGTGAAGAGGAGCCAAGGGAACAGGATCCAGCTGTGCCCCAGGTGTGGGGACAAGGGACTGCCGTGGGTGTGCAGGGACTGGCCACGGGTGTTTGTGCCACGCTGGGAGGGTTTGTGGGCTCACTTCTGTCCAGCGAACCTGGGATGATCCCACGGAAGAGCTGCAGGTGCTCGCAGGAATCCCTGGATGCTCCCGCGGGGGTTGGAGGAGTCGGAGCTGCTCCAGAGCCGCCCCGGGAGCAGGA